AAAACAAACAGGTGATGCGCGTTTTCGCTGAGTTTATCAAAATGGGTTTTTGTCAATTTTCTTCTTCTTGTTGTAGTTTTCATATCTTTTCTTGTTCATTATTATGTTTGGATAATCAACTTGTTAAGCTTTTGTACAATAAGTGCTTATCACATTTAACCTTATGAATAATCTAAAATATTTTCATATAAGTCTTAAACTGTTTTCATAAGATATCTTTGAGAACTTATATAATTAAGTTGAAAACAACTTAAGGGCATGTCATAAGCTGGTTCAGTAAGCTCGCTCATTCGGTCTCACAAGTACTTATGCTAGTAATTAAGTTGAAATAATTTGCTTATGTTCAACTTCATGTGATATCTAATTGTGTGTGGTTTAAACTAGCAGAAAATGAGATTGTTCAAATGTTTCGCTTGCCTGATTCCCAAGAAGAAAACCATAGTCTTCCGATGAGAGGAGGGAGAGTACTATTGAGGAAGGATCCTAATGCTAGAACATTGGATGAAAGATTCATTAGGATTTTGAAAATATTCAAATGGGGTCCTGATGCGGAAAAGGCATTGGAAGTGCTGAAGCTTAAGCTTGATATTCGTTTGGTTCGCGAGGTTTTGAAGATAGATGTTGAGGTTAATGTGAAGATTCAGTTTTTTAAGTGGGCTGGGAAGAAAAGGAATTTTGAACATGATTCAACGACTTATATGGCTTTGGTACGATGCTTAGATGAAAATAGGTTGGTTGGTGAGCTGTGGAGGACAATACAAGAGATGGTTAAGGGTCCGTGCGCAATTGGTCCTTCTGAGTTGTCTGAAATTGTGAAAATATTGGGGAGGGTTAAGATGGTTAACAAGGCGTTATCTGTTTTTTATCAGGTTAAGGGTCGCAAGTGCAGACCTACATCGAGCACTTACAATTCTGTCATCTTGATGCTGATGCAAGAGGGGCATCATGAGAAAGTTCATGAGCTGTATAACGAAATGTGCAGTGAGGGTTATTGTTTCCCTGATACATTTACATATAGTGCACTAATATCAGTGTTTGCGAAGCTAAATCGTGATGATTCTGCTGTTAGATTATTTGATGAGATGAAGTGTAATGGATTACAGCCAACAGAAAAAATTTATACAACTTTAATGGGAATATACTTTAAGTTGGGTAGGGTAGATGAAGCATTGAACCTAGTCCACGAGATGAGAATGCGGCATTGTGCCCCAACTGTCTTTACTTATACAGAATTAATAAGGGGGCTGGGAAAATCTGGGAGGGTTGAAGATGCGTACGGAGTATACAAAAATATGCTGAAAGATGGTTGCAGACCGGATGTCGTCCTGATGAATAATTTGATTAACATTTTCGGTAGATCAAATCGCTTAAAAGATGCTATTGAGCTTTTCGAAGAAATGAAGTTACTTAATTGCACACCTAATGTCGTGACATACAATACCATTATCAAATCATTATTTGAGGCCAAAGCTCCACCTTCTGAGGCTTCTTCTTGGTTAGAGAGAATGAAAAAAGATGGAGTAGTTCCGAGCTCATTTACATATTCAATTCTCATCGACGGTTTCTGCAAAACAAATCGAGTTGAGAAAGCTTTGTTGCTTCTTGAGGAGATGGATGAAAAAGGCTTTCCACCTTGTCCTGCTGCATACTGCAGCCTGATCAATAGCCTTGGTAAAGCGAAACGCTACGAAGCTGCAAACGAGCTGTTCCAGGAATTGAAAGAGAACTGTGGAAGTTCGAGCGCTCGTGTGTATGCTGTCATGATTAAACATTTTGGAAAATGCGGGCGTCTCAATGAAGCTATCGGTCTTTTCAACGAGATGAAAAAACTTGGATGCATCCCTGATGTTTATGCTTATAATGCTCTCATGACGGGGATGGTAAGGGCCGACATGATGGATGAAGCTTTTTCATTGTTTAGAGCTATGGAAGAAAACGGTTGCACACCAGATATAAACTCGCATAATATCATCCTAAATGGCTTGGCTAGGACCGGTGGCCCGAAACGCGCTATGGAAATGTTCGAGAAAATGAAGAATTCTACTATTAAGCCAGATGCGGTTTCTTACAACACCGTTCTTGGCTGCTTTAGTCGCGCAGGTCTATTTGAAGATGCCGCAAAGCTTATGAAAGAAATGAATTCAAAGGGATTACAATATGATCTAATCACCTACTCTTCAATTCTTGAGGCTGTTGGTAAGGTTGATGAAGATTGTAATATGATATAGTCCTGAGAACAAGCTGGTATTACCTTTTGAGTGGCCTACTAAGTTGTATTACTATGCAGCAAAACTGGCTTACTAATCAATTTTTGGGGAAAATAGTTTTTTCAATACTGTTGATGTGGTTGTATTTCAGTGCAAGAGTGCCAATTTTGTGCAATCTTGAAGAGAACTATTCAATAGCATGCTTCACTTCATATGATATTTATGGTGATGCATTGGGAAAGATAAGTTTCCCAATTTAGAATCAGGATAAATGAGTTAGGGTGTCATTTGTCACCATTCACAAGTGAAATCAAAGATTCTTCTTTGCATGTTATGGTTTTTCAGAAGCTCCAAATTTTACACATCTCACACTATTATGTAATATTTTTTTGTGGTCCTATAGATGCCCCAATTTTTTAAGGTAAGTTTTGTCAGGAATGACACAGCCTTAGAAGTGGTTAAAATTTCCTTCCAAATCCCATTAACTTTTTTCGAACAAAAGCTACACAACTGCACAGTGAAGATATATCATTGAGTTTCCAAACATGCACTAACAGTATGGAGGATAAATTTTGCTCTCGCCGCGATTACCAAAACTTTCCAAACTGCATTGTTAACCACACATGAACTTTGTCTTTGCTATTTGGCATGAGATAACCATTTCTATTAGCCATTACAAATGAACTACTGACAAATCAGGCTTTTAAAATAAACATAAAAAGGAGGTCAAAGTTTCAAGTATAAATTGTATAACCAGAAAACAGTAGACTCATTATGCTTGTTTTAATGAGCAGAAAATAATAAACAAATAACATTATAATTCATAAATTTGACATAAGAAAGCAATGAACTCTTTGCCAACAAGGTAATGATAACATGGCTGGACTATCCAGTTCTGACTGATTCCAGTAAAATGAAAAGTGTTGGCTGGCAAGCGTATTGCCTCAGAAATTTGAAGAATAGGCGAAATGCCTCAAGTATGATACAACAACTGGTTTCTGCATTCTGTGTTACACAACAATGAGAACTACAATACAATGCATAAGACTTCAGAGACCCGACTCAACAGAATCATCATTCTAACCATCTCTTTGCTCGAGTTTTAAAATCTCACTCTGCAATTTTTCAAAAATCTGTCTCTTTTGTGTTTCCAATTCAGTGAGGAAATCCATCCTCATCTTTTCCAGCTCCATTATCTGCTGCCTTTTATTATTTTCAATTTTCTCATATATCTTACCGAAATTCTGAATGGAATCAGCAAGTAATTTGAAGGAAGAAGACTCGTCACTGCCCCTACTTTTCCTTCTTTTCTTTGCGCGAGGCCTTTCTAAACCTTCTACACCAATGGATTCGGTATTTGCGGGATTATCCCTCGTGTCACCGAACCCATTTGCATGATTAACAAAAACTCTAGGCTTCATAAAAACACTTTCTCTTGAGTCCAAACCACAAGAGAAACCGGCTTGTTGCGGTGGAGAAGACATTAATTTATCCATCTTTTTGAAGTAAACCCATTTTTTATCTCCACCACCCATTTCTGAAAACTTAATCTTGTCCTTTTTGTATTTTTTCTTCAATGTATCCAGACGATTTCTACACTGAGTATCTGTCCTATCAACTTTTGAAACTTCTGATACCTTCTCTGCAACTTGTTGCCATTCATCAGATCGAAGACTCTTCCTTCCATGTTGAAGAAAGCGATCACCCCACGCATCAAGAAGAACAAATGTCTCTTTCTCAGTCCATTCACTAAGCGAGTTTCTAGCCCCAAAAGATGGTTTGGTAGCTGAAGAAGCTGCGGCGGATGGTTCCGGCGGCACCCGAGCTGCAAATTCATAGGTTGACATCAAACTCTTGAGCTTTTGCTTTTTTGGGTGCCACTCAAATTCATCTTCATTCATGATGGCATAGCTTTTCTGCTTATTGTCATTATCACCATCGTTGTCATCACCATTTTCATCCCTATCCTGATCTCGATCCTCATCCCCATCATTGTTATCTTCTTCATCCCTATCCCTATCCCCATCCCCATCCCCGTCATTGTTATCTTCTTCATCACCATGATTTCGGGAAAGCTGAAAGTTGTTATTTTGATCAACATCATCATCACCGTCACCTACATCTTCCCCCACTGACCGTTCTTCATCTTCTTCAACCCCATCATTGTTACCTTCATTTTCAAATGGCGGGGAATACGGAGAATTCCTCACAGGATGTTTCAGATCACCATACTCCTCACTTTGTTGTTGGTCATTATCATCATTCTCATCGCCATTCCCATCCATGTCATCATCTTCATCAACATGATTCACGGGAATTCGAACGCTCCTATTTCGATCAACCTCATCCTCCCCATCATCATCTACAACATCATCTTTCCCTCCTAACCTGTATTCATCTTCTTCATCACCACCATTAAAATCTTCAGCAGATTCATTTACAACTCGTTCGGAATAAGGAGAACTCCTAAAAGGATGTTTCTGATAACCATAGCCTTGATTATGAGGGTGACTAACAGCATACGGGTTAGGGGGATACCTTGCAATTGCATCATTCTCAATGTCATCCATTTAGAATCAAATCACAATTCACAAATACAACTAGCAAGGAAACTATAGCTATAGAAAATTGGTTCTCAGTGATTACCAATCAATCACCAATCCTAATTCCCAAAGTGTGGCTTCAAAACAAAACCCCTAAACTAGATAAAAACTCATTCTTGATTCAAATCCACAATTATCTTTCTGGGCTCCATGCAATCATTGAAGGGTAGAATAAAAAAATGTAACTTTGTCACAATAAATAAAGGAAATTGTTGATGGCAAGCAAAAACCCTGAAAATTGATGGCAAAAATAAAATGAAATTATGAAACTAAATTGGGGAAAAAATATATGAGTAGAAAGAGAATAAAGAGATGTGAGCAATTGCAATGAAGAAGGTGAAATTGAAATTGAAATTGAGATGGGATTGAAGGAATTATCTTACCTGAAAAAACGCAAATTGAAAGGGAATTGGGAAAAAGTATAATCACAAGTTGCGCAGAAAGAGAAAGAGAAAGTGTGTGTAATCGAGAGAGGAGATGCTCATTGCTAACATGAGCCGGGTAGGTGTAAGATAACATATATTTTAATTTAATTATATTCCTTCTTGAATACTCATCAATTTCATAAGTGGATCCAACCACTCTAGCAATACACTTTAGAGTGTGTAATAAAATGCATAATCTCAACTTATTATTTTGGTTACAAAGAAGAAAACAAACTAAATTATTAAGAATGAAGTTTCTTCTATTTGTTAGTTGCAAGGGTATAACTAAATTTCTAAGGAGAGGAGGTGTGAATTAGGAGATTCTCATTAGAATAAATGTTTATCTTAGTTATGTAGTATGCACTTTGATTGTGTATTTGTTAAAAGTATAATACGTGACAATCTATAATGATTAAAGACTGTTAGAGGTTTTAAGGATTGTTGTTGGATTGAAAGTTAGTTTACATATAGATGTGAGAAGCTTCATATTTCTAATATTTGTGTGAATATGAGATTATCCTCTCTCAACTTTAGGGTTAAAGTATTTATATATGTACTAGGCCTAGATCCTAGGCCCCTTGGGGATAGCCATAACTTTCAAGAAAATATGGGAGTGAACCGTTAATTCTTTATTATTCAAATGAACATTAATTTCTCTTGAGTCCTTCTACACCATTGTGGACCGGTGACACATCAAATCATATATTTGCACGCCTCGAGAGAGTCGCTCGGGAAGTGGGTGACGTATTAGAGAAAAGGGTGTTACATCTAGTAAATGGACAATTGATATAAGAAACGAGCGATCAAGATGACATTGCAGGAGAGATGTTACATCAATTACCTTATATGTTTTCCCTTGTCCCTTTCACTAATATACCAATATACATTCCCTTAAGCATAATGTCTTAGAAAGGGAGAAACAATTTAGTCTTGATGTCTCTCTCCCTATTTGGGTAACCCCTATGAAATTCATGGGGTGAATTCCTCTTGCATGAGGCAGGTTCTTTTTGTATGAGGCGAATTTGTGATATATTTCCAAGTGTCAATAAGGTTAATAGCGCGTCATTTGGTGGAATGAAATCAAATGTTAGTCAGCTGAGGGAAATCAAATGTCAGTTGAACAGAGGGAAATCAAACTGCAGTTAAGGAAAGTGTGCATTACATTAAATGCAATTGTTGATGATTTTGGGACATGGTTGCAAGTTACAAATATTATATTTACTTACTTATACTATTCTTAAGGATATTTATTGGATTTCGGGACGTTTAAGGAGTAGTTATGCACTTAACGATGCAAATTATGTATCTTGAGACGTGAAAGCCCTGATACTTTTGTTAGTGATTGTTGTACCCCAAAATTTTCCCTCTCATATTTTCCAAGATCTTCTCTTACATGGGTGGTTACAAACACTTGTTTAAAGAAAATATAAATTTTTTGAAGATGGTCAAGTGTCTTTCGATTGGCATCTGAACAAGGTGTTTTTTTATTGGCATCTTAACAAGGTACTTTGATTGTTCATCTAAAATCCTTCGAGCGAGCTTGGTTTCACAAGCTTCGATTGGCCATTTGGCCCCCTTCGATCAAGCTTTAGTCCACCAACTTCTATTGAGCGTTGGGTCCCCTCGAGTAAGCTTTGCTTCACAAGTTTCATTTAAGTATATGGCCCCCTACAAGTTTGCTTCGATTCACCAGCAGTAGGCCCCTTCAATTTGCCTTAGACCTGCAAGGCAAAAGGCCCCTTCAACTTGCCTTCGATTCACAGGCAATGGCCTCCCTCATGCTAGTATCCATAAGGCATTGGCTTCTTTTGTGCTAGTTTTGACTGGGCAATGGCTCCCTTTGGAGTTGCTTGCTTCTACTCCATCTCTGAACCCTTTAGCACATGATTGCTACATTATAAACACACAAATGGTGTCTTCTAAGGACATACATTTGGTCTATTCGAAAGACACACATTTGTTGGAAACAAGCTTGTTTTTCCTTTTGATGAGTTTGGTTCAAGATGCTTGCTGGCCAAAATATTACATGCTACAAAGCCCAAGCCTCATGCACAATTCCATTCATGACAAAAGAAGTTTCGACTGGTCAGAATGAAGTTTTTTCGATTGGTCTAGTTGGGTAGTTTCAGAGCCAATCAAAGAACAAAGCAAATAGGGGCTCAATCGAAGAAGCCACAAGGATGAAGCCTAGAGCCATCGAAAAGGGCCACTCAAAGCCAATCGAAGAGCAAGGCTTTAGGGCATTCGAAAGAGTCAAGCATGTCCAGGTTCATCCTAAAACCCCAAAAATATAGTGTTGTACCCCAAAATTTTCCCTCCCATATTTCTCAAAACATTTCAAGAAAGATCTCAAAGTTGCTCAAGGTAGTCCAAGGGTTGGCCAAACAAGCTCTCTCCTAAGGCAGTCTACCTCAAATTAGGGTTTCATGTTGCATCAAGATACTTGAGTCCAAGGGACCCCAAATGCTCACCAATGTCTTAATATGTTATCAATATCATCCATGTCAAGTTTCAAGCCTTGCAGAGGAAGTTTGCTCAGTCAATTGCTCAAAGGCCTGAAAATCGACTTTGCTAGGGCAAAAGTCAATTGTGGCCCACATACAGTCAAACTTCAATATTTTTGGTCAACATCCTCATTTTAAAGTATATTTCATCATTTGATAAAGGGTTGATCATGATTCATCAAGGATTGCTCATAATTCATCGAGACTCAAAAGTTGCTAAATTAGGGTTTTATAGGAAAAGTCAACTCAACTTTGACCAAGCATAACTTTCTCATATTTTATGATAAATGACCCATACAAAGATCATTTTTAAGAGGATGAAATTCCATACAATCCATATTCAGCTCCCAAGTTCAAAATATGCACTCACAAGAAGTTATGAATTTGGACATTATAGGTCATTTTGGAAAGTCAACAAAAACACCTTTTTTGTCAAAGCTTCATACATGAGCATGGAATATCGAATTGATATGATAGCAAAAGGGTTTATTAGAGGACATCTCAAGCTTTCTAAAAAGTCCAAGAACGCTTCCAAAGAGTCAAAATTGAAGAAGTTATGCATTGGTGAAATTGACCCTTTTTGCAAAATTGCCAAAAGTCAACTATGCCTAAAACTTCAAATTTTGCCAAATAGGCCCAATATTTTTCACTTGTTTTGAGTTGGAAACATAGCCCACGATCTCTAGCCCTTGCCACTTGTCATTATCATGTTTTTATTATTTATTTTGATTTTTATTTGATTTAAATCAATTTTAATCAAAATAAATCATGAGAAAATCTAAAGCATTGAAAACTCAAGATTTTATACTTGTTTTAGGTCACAAATCCAGTTGGCAAGTATTTGAAATCGTTCAAGGCATTGGGGTGGACAAAAAGATTGATTTTAGGCCAATTTGGGAATGATATTCAAGAGAATCAAATTCAATAATGGAAGAAGATTGAGTACATTCTATCAACCCTAATCCATTCCTTGATACATATAGAAGTGAGGCAGACCAAAAAAGGCTAGAAAAAGAGAGGCAGCATCAAGAACAGAACTGGAAAAAATCAAGAAAAAGTGCAAACACGATTTTATTGTTCCAGGCCAATTCAAGACTCTTTATCCATTCCAATTGATTCCTGGGATCCCTAGCAAGCAAAAGCAATCCAAAGCAAGCATTTCCAGGCCTCATATCGCACTGTAAGTCACCCACGGCATAGCTCCTTTTTTGAAATCGAATAGCATTATTCTTGTACTTATAGCATAAAATAGTTGTATATTCTTGATCACCATCATGTTTGTAAGCTTCCTGTAATATTTGATTGCATTTTCATAGCTTGTACTGGATTTCACCATAGCTAGGGTTTTAGGGTTCAATTTAGGATCTTCGTTTGCAGGAAGAATTGGGCCATGAAAGGGCCACATTTGTGTTCAACAAGGCCAGACGAAGCCATCCATGGCCTTCATTTTTATTTATAACGCTTGTGTTGAGTTTTGAAATTTGCAGGACTTGTAGCTATGGACAAACATCCGTAGGTAAAAGTTTGAAACTTTTACCAACGGTGCAAGGTTGAAGACGCCTGTGTGTCACCTTTCCATTGGCATATTTGAATCTGGCGCGTATTTTCTTTGGTCTCCACTAACCCACTTTGTTTTCCATATTATCATTATTATTTATTTAATATACAAATTGAACAAGTGGCGCAGTTGGTGAGTGTAGCGTTGGTAATTGCTTCAGGACCTGGGTTTGAATCCCAGGTCCACCAATTTCTCCATATTATTTTCTTTTTCAGGATCCAATGCGTTTGTAAGTTCAAGGTCTACCATATGGCCTCACCATCTAACATGCCAAGTTGCCAATTGGCCAGATCCAAGAGCCAACAATGGAGGAGTATCATAAGCCAAGTCAAACGCAGAGCATGTGATCTGGGAAGTCAAACGTGGACATTCTTCTTGGGCCCAGAAATGCTTCTCACACCCCCCATAATTGCTCAGGCCCAAATCACTTTCTCTATTCTATTTTTTTTATTTGTTTTAATTAATTTATATTTATTTACTAACCAATCAACTATTATTTTTGTCAAAAAATCACAAAAATATTACTTTTCATAAATTAGGTCTAGATTTTAGTTTTATTAAAAATTAGTTAATTTAATTAGATTTTAATTTTAGACTTTAATTCTTTTTGCACATAATTAAAATTAATTAGAACAAATACGTTTTATTTCTAATTTAATTATTTTCTTATTTTCTTAAAAATAATAAAAACACAAAAATAGGTCGTGTAGTTATTTTTTTAATTAATTTAATCACTAATTAATTTTCATACTTAATTTAGAAAACTTAATTCTTTTATTAAAAACAAAAAAAACAAATTTTCTTTTGATTAGGTTAGAAGGGTCAAAACCCTAATTTTCTCTCGATCTAAATTTCATCGCGCGCGTTATTATTATTTTTATCCCATTATTGTAACTGCTCACAAGGTGTAATAGTTTTAATTAGGACTTTTACTTTTCATCTATCGCTTTATTTTCAAAGGGTTTGTTTTTGGCTATGTAAATACCTGAAGCCTTGTAATAGCTTAGTTTAATTTCCACATTTTAAATTTCGCAAATATTAAACTGTTAGATGTATGAATAATTAGGGTTGCATGACAAGAATGTATGCGAAAAACTTTAAAACAGTTAGATAACCCTAACATGTGCAAAGATAAATAATTTGAAATTGAATCACTCGCACATGCGCACTCCTAGGGTACACTCCCACTTGGTTGCCTTCGATAAACGGTCATTGAGTATAGGATGCTTT